TTGGGGGGGTAGATTTTCCCCCCCCCCCCCCCCCCCAAAAATTTTTCTCTTTTTTTTTTTTTCGTCTTTTTTTTTTTTTTTTTTTATACTGTATCTCAGCCAGCGAGAAAGCTTTGAAATGAAAATTCGACTGAAGTTTTGCTTTTGTATTTCAAAATAAATCATGAGATGCTAAAAAAAAAAAAAAAAAAAAAAAAAAAAAGACGAAGAGATGAACATTTGTGGAGGGCGGGGGGGATGTGAATCTATCCACGTCATCAAAAGAAAGAAGACTGATGTTCGATTTTCATGTTTTCTAAATTAGATGAAAATACAATCAAGTTCCGTTTTTACCATCACTGTACATACAAGAGCTAATGAGAAAGATAGACAGACTCACTCTGCTGAACCCCAGCGGACTCCTAAGGTATGTGTATATAACGTTAAGAGGTATTGTGTATGCAGTAGAGCTATTAGGCAAACAATACCACCATTTATATAAACCTTTCTTGTTTTTGTTCTATCTCTGAGCCATCATCTTTTCCTATAGCTGCCATTTTCTGGTGAGAAAGCATGCAGGCATGTAAATGTTTGTCCTGGAATTATGATATTTAATAAATCCTATATTGTGCTGAACAAATAACCAGGGTGGATTCACCCAAGCCCAGACAATTCTAAAAATCCCAATTGAAGATGTTTTACTCTCAAAACGAAGACCTTCGCTGTTGATAGTACTGTAATCTTTGTAAAAGAGGTCATACTTCTTGGAATTTACTGTACATTGTCTTTATGAGACACTCTTAAAATCAGCACCCCTTATTGCTTTGTTGTTGTTTTTTATTTTGTAAGTATCTGGTCGGATCATCATCACCTGCCAGCTTGAAGCAATCAGTTAAGGACGCTACTTTTTAAAAAGCGAACACCACTTTATTACATTGTGTTTAACACGTTTTGGTTTCAGAGTGTTTCATGATGCGAGAACATGACAAAAAAAGAAAAAACTAATAAAAAAAAAACATTTTCTTTCCCTAAAGACTTTTGAATTGTGGTGCTGCAACACCTGTGTATATTCTCTAGTCATAAGCTGATGTCAGTCCTTTATCTGCTAAACAATTTAGACCTTATGTGTTACAATCAAAAAGATGAGGAGGAGGAAGAAGGGAAGCGTATCCCATGTTCACGATGTGTTTGTTCCTTTTTGTTCTTAATGGAGTGTCTAAGTCTGTTGTCACTGATAACTTATATAGCTTCTCGAATCATCTCTTTCATTGTACTTCAAATTCAAATAAAGTTAACATGTTGATGATAAACGGAGTGAGTTACATATGTTGTCTGAGGCTTTTGAGTTCCTTCATGATGATGATGAAGATGCGGAGGGTGCTTGCCCAGAAGCAGGAGGATCGGTGTGACTAATGTGGCCTGATTTTATCAGGTGATGTGGAGAGGTAAACTGGCTCTCTTGTAAATTCTCTCTGTGTATTGTAGATATTTTCAGTCAGCTCTCTAGCTTTGTGAGCCATCTTCTCTGTCTTTTTAACAGAAAAATAAATGTTTCATTTTTTCTCTACTGCTTTGTTTAATTTTTGTTTGAAGTTGGGTTTAATTTTATAGTTTATAAGTTGTTCATATGTTACCACACACAGAGATAACTTATGCAGATTGCAAAAAAGGCAGCATAGTTTTTTTTTTTTTTTTCCTGGGCATCTTAGCTATAGAGATGATACAGTACCCTTTAGCTGTCATAACATTTAGATTGTACTTTTTTTTTTTTTATAGTGTGATGTCATGTCAGGATTACCGCTATTTTGAGTTTTTGCAAACTGTTGGAAAAATAGACAAAGATATGACGCAAAATGAAGTATCATGTATCTGTCACAATCTGAAATTAGGATGATCAGAGAAATTAACGATATAAATACAATCTGGTTGTCAAGCAGAAGTATTATGTGAATGTGGGGGTTACGTCGTTTCATCTTAGTCTTGGTTGCTGTATTATTTCTTCATTTAAAAATGATTATCCACTCATCCTTTAATGACTGATTTTAATACTTGCTATCTCCAAAGTAAAGTATCAAAAACTAAAAGTGGCACCTTTGTTGCATTGGTCGTCCTCCGAAATTTCTCTTGGGTACTTTTTGTCACATTCAAAGACTTTGCACATATTTTTGGATAGAAATCCATACATACATACATTTTCTGACACGCTTTATCCCGAGTGGGGTTGTGAGGGGTGCTGGTGCCTATCTCCAGCTTTCTACAGGCGAGAGGCGGGGTACACCCTGGCAACATATTCTCATTATCAGTTCGTATGAAATCGTACGAAAGGTTATGCGCAATATTTCGTACGTTTTGGACGTTTTTCCTGAAAAAACCAGATCAGTGAGCATGCACTGGCAGACAGACAAAAAAAGCAGATCCGTGGACGAACGTAAAACTGGGAAAAACAGCGCAATAATCACTTATTCATGTCTCTAACTACGTTGCTTGCTGTTTTATATCTTAGGGTTAGGGTCAGGGTTAGGGCTAATTGTATTTTAAATTCTATATTCTTGAATGGTGCGTAAGATGTGCATGCGCATACGACGAAAAAAACGTCCAAAACGTACGAAATTACGGTGCATAAGTTTTCGTACGATTTCATACGAACTCATAATGAGAATACACTGGACAGGTCGCCAGTCCATCGCAGTTGGATAGAAATCAGGCCAGTATTTTGGTTTCCAATTCTGAGAGCAAATTTGTATCTCTATAAAGAAAAGTTATGGGTTAATTGCTATATTGAACACCATGTTATACTTATATGTTGCCATTATTTACTTGTTACTTCAATTAATTCAAACAGAAACAATGTAAACATTAGCTTAAACTATTAGCATTTTTGTTTTTTCTTTTTAGCTCAATATTTTGGTGTTTTTAGGAGATAGATAACCTAAATGCTTGTATAATTAAATTGATTAATATGAATTTCTTAAATAATTTTAATTGCATTCCTTTATTTCATTTGATTATCTCTGTTTAGGACATTAACTATTAATAGATAAGATACATTAGAACAAAAATGTAAATGACCTCTTGGTAGTAGAAATGTTTTATTCGAGTAATATACAATATGTTTTATTGTAGCAAACAGCAATAAGAGTATAGAAAAGTACTTTTACTTGAATGTTTCTTTTAAAGTGGGCACAAACTTCATAAGTTGGATACAAGACACCAAGGGGAGAAGAAGTACAAAGTGGTGAATGGAAAAATACTTACTGTGCATAATTTGTAAACAAATGCCAATTAAGATCAATATTAACTAATTTACTATGCTTACTGTTGATTACATATGTAATTGTATGTACTGTCAAGCAAATGACTTAATGCAACTTGTGTGTCCCCTATTCCCATTCTACTTCTGTCTAATAAACAAAACTTCTTCGACCATGCTCAGCAGTCACGCATCAGAACATAAGCTTATGCAGTCTGAGTTCTTACATTGTTTCAGCCACATCAAACATATTTTTAATGATTAGATATTTGCAGAGTCTCTCCGTTTTTCTCTGGGGATCTCTGGGTTTTCTACAAGGATCGTTTCAGAACAGGTACGGCTCTAGAAACACACAAAAAGAAATATGAAATCGACATTGAGAGAGAAATTTCTCCTGTAAGCACTTCTGAGTGAAATGTGTTGACACAGCATGTCTGGCCCATTCCCATTTTGCATGCTTTTTAAAGCATGGCCATAACACGGCCACAGAGATGAATAATTGACTGATTGCTGCATAATTCAGTGCTGCATTGTAAAAATTCAAGGCCTGAAATACTTCAAGCTTTTCTTCAATTTTTTCTTATTAAAAATGAGGTTAAAGTTTCAATCAACCTTGAAAGAACAATACGACACTCAGTGGGCAATCAATCATGAGGAAACAGTGCTTTTCGTAGAGTTCTGGCCCATGTTGGAGCTCGCAGCTCCACTCCGAAACTTTAGCTTACTCTGGAGTGAAAGAAACCGAGGAACAACCTCCACTTCATCCATTTAATGGATACGTTTCCTTTTTTTTTTTTTTTTTTAGCAGTGAGAGATTTAGTCTGCTCACCTCCAACGAGCCCGTGAGAAGTGGGCTATTACTCACATATTCTGTTTATTTCTTCATCTGATGCTTTTTTTTCCTGCACTGGCATGTGAAAAAAGAGGCCCTGCAGCTACATGTTTCATATCACTGCACATTTTGTAATAAATTCAATTCAGTACAAATATGACCATGAGGCACGGAGACTTTAAATACCAAATGTGCATTATGGATGTGGTGTTGCTTTGCACTTTTGCTGTTGCGTGGAAAGGCATGTTGCTGATTACATATTCAAAGCTTTAAAAACTGTTTGAGTCGTCTCTTTGATTCTCCTGGCCTACCATGGAGATGTGTTCACAAAGACTTTGTCCAGATGTGATTATTCCGCCTTCTTGTGCTTTGCTTAATGTCATGCTGCATAATACATTGTTGCCTACTTATTTTGCCTGACAAGATACAGGATTTAATTATGTGTAAATGACATATATCATACTTTTTAGCCTGAAAACGTTGAAATGTTTAAAGTTTGAAAGATAACGAGTACCAATCGACCTTTCTACTTTTTCTTTTCCTTTCTTATTTTCTTTTGCCAAAGATAAGACCTTTTTGACAATATAGAAAGGTATGTATAGTATATATATATATATATATATATATATATATATATATATATATATATATATATATA